TCATCTAATAAGCCATCTTGTTAGTCTTTAAAGTGCTACATAGTCCTGTATTTTGTTTCAGCTACACCAGACTAACACGGCTACATTTCTATCTCTATTCTACAGATGAGGAAACGGAATGACAGTGATATTAACTGATTTACCCAGGATCACAGGCTGACAGACTCTGCCAGGAACTGAACCGAGGTCTGACTCCCAGTGCTATGCCTTGAAATCAACAAGGTATCTTTCTTTCAACCACTTCCTACTTATCTGCTAAGCAACATTTTCCCTTTTAAGCTAATTCTCCAACACAAATATTGTAATTAGGTGGTTAGGTTTTTAGCAGAAAATGTCACTAAACATTAATTTCAACATACACATGCACAATTAAGGAAAAAAAGAGTTCCATTGATGATCATCTAAATTCAGAGATAGGCCAACTAAGAAAAATGCTGTATGAGAAATACCAGAGTATCATTTAAGGATATTTACTTCGCTATAGAATATGCAATGTTGAAAAATTATGTTTTAATAGCTTTAAAGCTGATCTTTTGAATCTCGATGTCTGTCAAATAATTGATTCCCACATATTTTCCCACAACTGTGAAAATTTTAAATTGACAATTTTAATCCTTTTCAACAGATTTTATCCTTTGAAATTATAAAAATATCAAATTCTGCCAAGCCTACTTGTAATGTTCCCTTCATGTCACCACTCTCGGTACAGATTTTGTAAAAGTCTTCCAAGTTCACAAGTAAGCTGCCAGAAGACAAAGATCTCAACTCTTCCTTCCTCTCAACTGAATCTAGCTTGGGGTGGGCAAAACATGGCCCGTGGGCCACAACTGGCCCACTCAGCATTTCTATTCATCCAGCCCAACTGATTAGCAGAGCATGCATATTTTACAGTTGGCAGCAGGTGTTCAGCTGTCCCTCACCCCACCTTGCTTCATCCTCCAGCCAAGATGCTCCCAGGTCCCTCCAACTAGCTGTGCAGAGAGGGAGGCGCTGAAGTCAGGGTGTCCCCCTGCCTCTATAATCTCTCTCTGCAGAGCAGGGATCGGGGAAGGAACAGGTATAGCAGAGCTGCTCCTGTCTGAAGTATAGATGGTGAGTGCCTGAGATGAATGCTTGTCTTAAGAGGCAGTGCATTGTTTCTAAGATTTCTCCAGCAGCCAGCTCTCTCCCACACATTCATTTCCTTCCTTCCTTCCCCCACCCCCACACACATACCCAATCTCTCTCTCTCTCCCCTTCCTTCTCTCCCTCCCCCCCCACACACACACCCAATCTCTGATGAGTGGGTAAGAGGGGACAGCTTGCCCCATCTCAGACAGCAGATGACATCTCAGAAACTTACACAGCAGCAGCCAGCACACACCCCAGTCACTGTCACACACACAACTTGTATCACAAAGTCTCTCTCTCTCTCCTACACAGTCTGCTCTCTCTGTCTCAACCCCAACCCCAACTCCACCTCTGCCACTCAAGGCCCTGCCCTTTCCAGGGGCTAGGCTCCAACCCGTGACAACTTAGCAAACTCTGTGGCGTGCCTGCCCCTCCCCCCGCCCAGCGAAAATTATTGTCCACTCCAGATCTAGTTTCTCTGGACTATGAAATCTGAAATGATTCATGTCCCTAGTTTATAAACTTTGCATTTAGGCAGCCAGTTTGCTTACAATAATCATCCACGTCAGTGGTGAGTATTACTTCTTGATAATAATGTGACACTTGTTAGCTGGGTGAAACATGACTACACTGAGATTGTGTAGTTCAAACTCAAAATCCACAGTGTTTGGCGGGAAGTGCATTAGCCTGCAAATATATTAAATGAATTGAGGGCTTTAAAATCTCTCAGTTGAAACACACTCAGATATTATGATCAACAGTTATCCTGGTATGTTTCATCCTCGTGATGTTTAACTCACTAATTTCTGCTTAGATATTTTCTATGTTGACATATTAATCTGTCTCGTTTGGCACAGTGTATATTTCTAGCCTTCAGATGAGCAGGCCTCGGTGATGGATCAATGGTAGTTAAAAATTGAGAGTTGCAGGTATACTTCCCGCAGATTAAACAACAATCTGTGACTAAACAATTAGAGATGCACTGAGGCATCAAATCTATCTGTGCACTCTTTGGTGGTACTCTAATGCAGTCATTTGCATCAAAGTAGGACAATATTCACGCCTTAGTAGCAGACAGTAGGGATGTAAAATCCCATTTAATTGGTTAACCGGTTAAACACATTGCTTAACTGGTTAACTAATTAAAGGGAGGGCAGGCAGGCAGGCAGAGGCTCCTCCAGCCATGCTGGAGCAGCCCCGCCTGCAGAGCACCCGGGCCCACCAGCAGCCGAGGCTGCTCCAGACAGACGGAGCAGCCTCTGTCCATGGTGTTCCCTGCAGGGCTGATTCAGCCCCCCACCCACAGCAGGGCGGGAGCTGCTCTAGCCTCCACCAGTTAACCAGAACCAGTAAGCATCACGCATTAAAGCGGATGCTTACTAGTCAACCTTTTATATTCCTTGCAAATAGCAGTTTAAACTATATGAAGCTAACACACCTCACTGTGTCCATAAAAAGAGATGAGAATGGAGAAAAGGAATTAAGACTTGAGGGAAGAGAGCACCTCAACCACTGTAAAGGGGCCATCTTTATCAGTTTATAGGTGCTGGTAGTACTAAAGAACATCTGAGGGTTTGCTCCACCATTTCAATAAAGTCAGCCTTTTCATTCATCCTTTGACCTCACCTCCACCAACATATTGAGGGTATGTGCACAATCGGCTAAGAAAACAAAAAACTTTATACCAGTTATGTTTCCAATGTTCTGAAAAGAAAATTAGATGGGATCTTTTTAGCATTCCATTCACTTAGACAAGTTAACACCCTCAACTGGTAATTTAAAAAAAAAGTTGCAATGTATGGTTTTAAACAATAATTCCCATTTGGCTAGTGAATTATAGGTAATATACAGCAGAATATGCTACATTAGATGTGTTTTATTGTGAGCAAAGTAGTCAGAAGAAACTGGACTAGCATTTCACCTTTGAAGATCTATGTTTAAATACTCTAACTCAGAAGTGTAACAATGTTATGATCTCAGTCCAGCTCAAACATAGGCAATTGTCCTGTGTTTTATAAAATAGACTACAAAAGCTGTGATATTGCAGGGCAGCTTCAAAGTGCTTGGAAAATCTGTGCAAAGAAGCTCACAAAGGATATACCTATGTCATTATTTCTGGGTCAAGCCAGGGCCGTTAAGACTTCCACTTTCACAAGCAGTGAAAGAAAAAAAAAAAAAGCATAAAAACCTTTATCTTATTTAAATATAAATAAGAATGTATTCAGGGGTCCAATCAGGAGGGGTATAACTGAACTTTTCTGAACCATGTAACTTTCACAGCTCTACTGAGATTCTGAAATTTCTAATAAGACATTGACCAGATTCTAGCTAAAATATTACTCCAAAAAGCCAATTTGAACGAAAGTTTTCAAACCACTTCCATATGCAATTTAAATAGAATTCCTGTTATTAAAAACAATAAAACACTGAACAAAAATGGAAAGTACGGTTTATCAAATCTTTCTGGTGTAATTTTTAAATGGAAGATTAATGATAGAAGTTAGAATGCTTGCTATCTTAATGATAGGGCAATGCCAAGTGCAGAAACACTGTAGTTAAAGAGCACCCTTTGCTGAAACCCATTTAAAATATACTTAGGTAATACATCAGTTTCAGCATGGCAGCAGGAGAACCCAAACTACTACTAAAACTGTAATCTAATGTGTACAAAGCATGTCCTACACCAGGGTTGAGATGGAAGAGCCCTCACACAACTTTCCAAAAACCTAACAACCGCATTTTGCTTTTAAGTATATGTAACAAATGGAAACTAAATGCAACAATGCATATCTGCATTAATCTATGCTTTTCTATGATGAAAAAAATAGCCATTGATTTCTGTTTGACTTCTGTACTAGTTTAGAATTTCATGGGTCATATTTGGCCCTGAGACTCAGCATTATTTTCATCTTTAGTTAACATTCATTTTGGCGTAACACCTTTAACTTTTGGAAATAACGATTTTACATTATACACAGTGGAAAGAAGCTCATCAAATGTGACTTTATTCTGAAGCTATGTAATGACACTAAGTACCATTGAAAGCTTTTAGACAATATTTCTAAAGAAGTTTTTTTTTTTTTATTGAAAAACAGGAATTCTGTTTCCCTGACCTTATCTCTGTATCAGGGGTGGGCAAATTCTGGCCCACAGACTGGATCCGATTCACAAGGTAAGTCCCTGGCAGGCCCCCACCTCCACGTTTACCTGCGCCTCCACAGGATTCAGAGGATCGCAGCTCTGGTTGTCTTAAAATTGCCATTTATGGCCACTGCAAACAGAGAGAAGCAGTGCCCCAGTCCGCGCTGCTTGCATTGGCCACAAATGGTGATTTGCAGCCACTCAGGGCTGCAATCATCCAATACCTGTGGAGGCACAGGTAAAACATAGCAGCAGTGGCCCGCCAGGAACTAACCCTGCGGGGCTGCCAGTTTTTTATTGAGGACCCAGATATTAGCCAAAAATAAGGGATGTAGTGGTAGAGGTTGGTCAGATCTTCACAGCAAAATATGAAAAATTAATTTTACTACAGTTTATTGAACATCATAATAAACGTATATATTCATCCAGCTCTGGCTAATCAAATTCCATTCAGCAAAAATATAACAAGAGGTAGAATCTTTGAAATCTATTCAATTACTTTTTAAAAGACTATTTTAAAAGACCACAAATTACATTTCTATTAATATTTTTTAAAGTTAACTAACAAGGTAATAAGATTAAATATAGTCCACCAGTAAGTAAAGTAAGTTCCCTTACATTACAGAAGATATGGCCTTGAGATACTTTTGGTGCCAACGGCATTTCTTTACCCAGCTAATAGGCTTAATCCTTGAGGTAGCATTACATAATTTTTTCAAGCCCTGTGAAGCTGTCAATATGCCACTTACCTACTATCAGTGTCCAGACCTACAAAGTCCTTTTTTTCAAAAGGTACACACAAAAGTGGGATCTTGTCACCAGATTTATCAGTGGCCCTGTCAAGACGTTTGGACTCCAGGACAATGAAGAGAGATTCAATAAAATCTTCTATCCTCTTTTCAATCGTTTCACATTCATCATAATTAGGGTAAAATGCCACATCTGTGCGGGGCTGCTCAGCAACCTCTCCTTGAAGTCCAAAGACAAACAATCGGGAATCATACAGTGTAGAACCATATATTTCCTTCTGGTGGTGGAATTTTTCAAAAGTTTGGGGCCAATCCTTTGCAGAGGTACAGTCTGTTACAATTATGAGTCCCACAACTTTCCGATGAGTCTGAAAATCTCCCCATTCATTGTTTTCCGGAGGGTAGTGATGTCTATAGCGGATATACAGCACACGCTGGGAGTCACGGACGTTAATCTGACTCACGGTTGAAATTCGTTTGTAGATCCTAAAAAAGTTTTCTTCAGGGACAATCCCAACTGGCTGGACCACAACCAGAAGAGTCTGATGGTCCTCAGCACACTGCATGTAGTCAGGAACACTCATTTTGCATCAACTATAATCTAATAAAAAGAAAAAGATTAATTATTTTACACCATCAGAGGACTGGGTAGCAGTTTTTTTTAAAGTCAGGACCCTCCCATAAGGAGTTTGCCCCATTCAGAAATAAAAATTCATAAGATGCAATTCAAGCAAACTTACAGCCTTAGTTGCTATCCTTGTCCTTTCTATACCTTCCTTGCCTGGTTTGTTACCCCTTAATGTGGTATGCTTAATTTAGAACCTAATCTTGCAAACACTTATTATGCACATGCTTGACATTAAGCATACCAGTAGTTCCATCCACTGCACAGGGATTACTCACATAAAAAAGGCATTTGTATTAATGTTCACTGGCTCTAGGCCTATATTAGTATTATCTACGCAAGTATTATCAACTACAAGTATTATTCAAAACTCTTTTCTACTCTATAAGCAACCGTGCTACTTGTTCAATGGTGCAAAGACTGGCAAGAAGATAGGAGCGAGGATCAGCTATGGACAACATTAAACATTTTTTTAATTCAACATCTTCAAGAATGACAAAAACATATGCAGAAACATTTCACAAAACAACTTTCCTAAGATGCTGTATCTGCTGCAAAAGAATGGTGCCACTTAAACATGTTTTGCATACCCCTATCCAGCCATTACAGTTTTATATTTCTGAGGAAATAAATGTAATGAAAGAACTGTAGAGAAAAGGACAAAGGTAAAGGAAAAAAGGATAAAGGATCTGTCATATGTTGCAAATGGCTCCAGAATATATCCAGCACTGCCAACCTTCTGTCCAAAAAGGGAATCTTATCGTTTGTTATACAATGAGATATAATCAGAGTGTTAGACATTTCAACATAGGTAAAAGCAATATAAATTAACTTAGCACAATAAAAAAAGTTGGTATCCTGAATGAGCACCTCATTTACAAGTATCATTACAACATAATTTGAAATGGTAAAAATACTAAGCCCTGAAAATAGTTTAAGAATTAAAACTACAACCCTTATAATAAAAGTCGTGTCAGATGGTGAGTATTTCTGTCTGTCTATATTTTATGCCACACACATTTTCTGTTATCTGAGTGCTGCCTGAGTCCAATAGGCACTTTAACATTGAACACTTCCATATACCATATGTATGTAACATTCTCTAAAAATACTTTCAAATACTTCTGTTTTACCTCCACTACACTACAAAATTAAACCACCATTATAGCAGGCCCAATACTCTGCTTTATTTTCACCTTTCTACTAATTCTGCAGCAGTCTTGTTATATATTGCAAAAGATAAATTAAACACGATCAAGGGGTAATCTTAGTGACCCACTGATACAGCCATTCCACTGTTTTACAAAACTTAATATAAAAAAAACGAGACTTGAAGAGCTTGCAAAGAAAGCAAAGCAATGTAAAAACTGAGAGGCAAGACAGAAGTTGATGAAACCAAGAGGAGGAAGATAACCATTCAAGAACTCGTAAAGTGTAAATAGTACTTTCCCTTTTGGAGCTATGAAGGCTAGTATGCCCCGTAAATACTAATGCTATGTAACATTGTTAATATATAAGTTATGCAACAGTATCCTTAACATATCTGAAATACTACAACAATTAAAAATATATACTATTTTTATATTTAATATTTGTATTACTTGCCCTCACCAGGACTAGAGCCACATTGGGCTAAGTACTACTGAAACACAAAGCATAGGACTAGACTAAAGATCTTATCCAATGCCAAAGTCAAGAAAAGAGAGAGAGACAGTGATCATTTACCGGTACTTAATAATTTAAAAAGTGCGCACAACTGTAATAAAGGTACTTGGTTCTTCTGCCCATCACAAAAGACTATGCTAGAACAGTGGTTCTTAAACTTTTTGGCCCATGGCCCAACCAGCTCAATGCAAACCTTCCCATGGACCACCAACTGCTAACGGAAACTCACCATTAATTATATAATTACAGTTTGAAACTCTCTTAACCAGGATTCTCTGGTCTGGCAACATCCATGATCCAGTACAGATGTTGCAAGACCAGAAAGTCTCGGTGGAAAGCCAGTGGCAAGGATCCCTGTGGGGCCGTCAGGGCAGTGGGCTGCCCGCAATGAGCCGATAGAGGAGACATCCAGTGTGTGGCAGCAGGTCTGTCTAGCGGGGTTGGGAGACACGTGTGTGACTGCCTGGCGGGATCTGCAGCACATGGCTGCATGGTAGGTCCTGGAGCCCCAGCATGGCACGTGCAGCTGTCCAGT